ACACACTATATCCACTGATTCACTATATTCTAAGCAGCACGCTATATCTACTGATTCACTATATGCTAAGCAGCACGCTATATTCACTGATTCACTACATTCTAAAGAACACACTATATCCACTGATTCACTATATTCTAAGCAGCACGCTATATCCACTGATTCACTACATTCTAAAGAACACACTATATCCACTGATTCACTATATGCTAAGCAGCACGCTAAATCCACTGATTCACTATATTCTAAAGAACACACTATATCCACTGATTCACTATATTCTAAGCAGCACGCTATATCCACTGATTCACTATATGCTAAGCAGCACGCTAAATCCACTGATTCACTATATTATAAAGAACACACTATATCCACTGATTCACTATATTCGAATCAGTGGATATGGTGTGTTCTTTAGAATATAGTGAATCAGTGGATATAGTGTGTTCTTTAACTATATTCTAAAGAACACACATATCCACTGATTCACTATATGCTAAGCAGCACGCTAAATCCACTGATTCACTATATTCTAAGGAGCACGCTATATCCACTGATTCACTATATTCTAAAGAACACACCATATCCACTGATTCACTATATGCTAAGCAGCACACTATATCCACTGATTCACTATATTCTAAAGAACACACTATATCCACTGATTCACTATATTCTGAAGAGCACACTATATCCACTGATTCACTATATTCTAAGGAGCACGCTATATCCACTGATTCACTATATTCTGAAGAGCACACTATATCCACTGATTCACTATATTCTAAGGAGCACACCATATCCACTGATTCACTACATTCTAAAGAACACACTATATCCACTGATTCACTATATTCTAAAGAACACACTATATCCACTGATTCACTATATTCTAAGGAGCACGCTATATCCACTGATTCACTATATTCTGAAGAGCACACTATATCCACTGATTCACTATATTCTAAGCAGCACACCATATCCACTGATTCACTATATTCTGAAGAGCACACTATATCCACTGATTCACTATATTCTAAGCAGCACGCTATATCCACTGATTCACTATATTCTGAAGAGCACACTATATCCACTGATTCACTATATTCTAAGCAGCACGCTATATCCACTGATTCACT